AATTATCATTGCTCAAAGACCACAATATGATCAAGGTATGTAATTCTTAGATCCTTTATTATCTTATTGTCTTATTTGTGTTGAGATTATCTCATTCCAATATATCAAGATGGGTGCTACTTCTCGTATCCATTGATATTTCATCAAGTCGATTTATTTGGATTAACAAGAAAAGTAATATAAGTGATGAGTTACTTTCTCAGTTCTCAGTGTTATCCTATTCTTATCCATCATACATTGATATGTAGAAAATGCAAGTTCCAAGAGCCCATATATTCCCCAGAAGTGGAAATTGAAGAATTCAAGGGTAAAGAAAGAAAATGACATGGTAATAAGAATATTGGTTTATGTTACCATTCTAATGGAAAAGTGTGTTTGTCTCGTACCCATTGTACGCAAAAGACTTTATTCTACCAAGAATCAAAGGGAAGAGCAAATTCAAATATGCTGATGCAATATCAATATTATGGAACATATATATTTTTTTTTTGTATTATAAGTTGGCATATTCTCCATTAAAGATGAAAATGATATTGCACTTGAGACATTTTCATTCCCAGAAGTGAATGAAATAATCTATTCCCCGAAGTGAATAAAACTATAAACATAATTATATATATGGTAAATGTATTGTATGGATCTTTTCACCAGAAGTGAGAAAAGAGGAGAAAAATGAGAATTATAAATAAGAATGACACCATAATTGCATTATAAAAGTCATGATAACATAATGTACCTGTTGTACATTATAATGTATAATGAAACGCATATATAAATTTAAAATCACCTAGTCAGTGATGGTATTGTTCCAAATAAATCTTATTTAATTTTCACAATTGTAGTATTATGATTCCTATTTCTTTTATGTTTTATTGTGATGTTATTTTTCATGCATAATTTAATTTGATAACATTTATCTAGAATAATTAACTTGATAAACTCATCAATTTTGTCTTAAGTTTGAAATATTCTCATTTATTACTTTTATTATGTTTTTATAAAGTATGAGTACTAGACAAATTCCATATAAACTATATGGTAGAGTACATAAATAAGAAAAAGCTTCCGAAGAGCTTATGTTTGGTTACTTGAAGTAACTAAATTATGTACTCGTGATAACAATTTGTGATGATATTCACTATGAATTTGTGTTTACTAAGAATGCATCAAATCATAAGTCCCCGGAAGGGTGGAATATGGTACAAAATATGATAAAGCTTTAAAGGGAGCTAATTTTGTGGCCTGAAGGAACCAAACTACCTAGTGATGATGCATTACCCAATTAAAAGGATATTCGTAAAAAGAATATCTTATCAAGAAAATAGTGAAACTAATATTTGCATCACAAATATGTACTACATGTATATTAGTACAATCAGTACACATAAAAGTGTAAACCAGAAGTTTACAAGATTTGATAACTTGATAATTGGTTGGTCCGGTTAGACCATCCCGGATCTTGATGTGAAAAAAGTTCTTTGAGAATTCATGAGAACATCATATGAGAAGTCAAAGAACTCTTCAAATAAAAAAGTTATTATGGCATGTTTGTTCTCAAGGAGAATAGAACAATTGATCATCGCTTGTATAAGAGTTGGCAATTCTCTTGAGATTTTATGGACGTGTATGCACAACAATACATCAGTCATGTGGATCATTTGTGAATTTTATGGGTTGCTGCATCAAATGGGAGATCACTTTTATTTTATCTAATCGCAACCCGATGTTTGCGAGATTGATTGCCTCACTATGGATACATTTTGATGGCTATCCAGCAAACATCACTTTGCTTAAGAGAACAAACTGAGCATTCTGGTCTCTTGTCGAGGACATGCTAGCTGGCAAGTGATAGTATTGGTTCACATCTAACCAACAAGTTATCATAAGTTCCCCCATTTTACAAATGATTTTGGTCAATTACCTAACATTTCTCATATGAGAATATCAGGGTGTGCCGCATACATCCCAATTGCTTCACCACAGTATCTTAAGTTGATTCTCGTTGGAAATTGAGAATTTGTGTTTGGTATGAATCCCAAATGGGAAATTTGTTTGCGAAATTATTGTTTTGATGAATCACTTTTCCAACATTAAGGGGGAGAGAAAAAAACAGCTAGACAAAGAGATGAGTTATCATTATCTAGTTTTGATCCTCAACGTAAGAAACATGAACCTGAAGTTCATAAGATGAATTATCATTACCAACTATCAAATGCCTTTACTGGCCATACGAAGTGACCAAGTCACATATACTAGCTGTGAATGCTCCAACTAAATTTGATATCCTTGTTGGATACTCTAATATAAAAAAAAATGTGTCTAAAAGAGCGCATGAAGCGTGATAGACCAATCGGTTCCAACGATAAACATCCTCGAGAAAAAAAAGGAGCTGTGATTAGAATGGTCAACTCGAGGACATGAAAACTCAAGAAGAGTAACCAAGAATTAAGTATAATTTTAGTTCCAGAAGAACACATGTCTATGAAAGTTGTGAAAGTGAAGAGATCTCAAAAACATATTAGACTACAATACTGGGACCGTAATGAAATTATTGTCGATGAAATTTGTTTGTTGTATTTCAGTACTGAATATGATATATACAAGTGAGGATCAAGAGTAAAAATCTATTGATGCATGCAAATGATGATGTTATTGGCCAATATAGAAAGAAATCATGAAACATGCTCAAGGAGCATAAAGTTTAAGGACCAGAAGTCCTTGCACCTAAAAAGGGCAAAAATAACGGGATACAAACAAATTTTTGTGCTATTGGAAAGTATGAAATTGTGAGATATATCACATAATGTTTTGCAATGGATTTCTCGAAGAGACCTATCATTGTTTAAGAGGATTTATATTCCCCTGTGGTGGATGCAACTACTTTTTCAAATCAATGTTTGAAAATTGTTGTGATAGCCTATTTGTTTGAATTCCCTGAAGATGTTATATATATTTGAAACTCCCAGAAGGATTAGTTACTCCTAGAAGGATTAATTTACGTGAAGTAAACAAGTAAAGTTCTCGAGAACATATATCGATAGACTAAGAAAATCCATTGTGTGGGTTGAGACAATATATACGAATGTGAAATACTCGTCTAAGTGAACACCTACAACAGTAGGGTGAATGGACCTTAAAAGGTTAAATCCGGATAGAGTGCATTAGAGCATTTGCATTGTGCATATATAGTTGTGGTTTGTGTATGTGCTTCAAGGATTTTAAAATCTTGGTTTATGAGTTGTGTTTTACTTTTAAGTACGAGTTGTGTTTTATGACTGTGCTTTGTCTAGTTCATATGTTTCTATGATGTGTGTTTTGTTAATATCTTTCATGATAAGAAAGAATTGCTTGTTTCAATTTGTTTTAGTCAAGTTTTTTTTTTTGTGACGATCTCATATTATGTTGATGATATGAGTATTATTGGAGCCCCTGAAGAGTTTCCTAAAGCAGTTGATTGCTTAGAGACATAAGTTAAATTGAAGGATTTAAGATCCTTTTTATGGGCAAGGAAGGTAATGTTGAAAAAGTGGAAAAGTAATTTTGCGTGAACAAATTATGTTCATCAAATAACCTTAGGATCCTAAGATCACTAGAAGTGACCAAAGATCCATTTAGGCATCAAGAAAGAAGTGAAACATTAGGTCCTGAAGTACTTTATGTTGATGTACTAGGTCCTGAAGTACCATATGTTGATGCATCAAAGCACCAATGCACATTGCTAGCCAAGCACCATATAAACTATCGTTTTGGTGTTGATAATATTGGCAAGATACAATGTTTCCCTCATTAGAATGTTGGAAAATACTTTGTTACCTCTGGGAACAATATATGCGATTGTTCTATTATGGTATTATCAAAGAGAGATTTGGTAAACTATATATCCAAATCCTAAATATCATTTGATCCTCATATTGGTTGATCGGAGATGAGCTATCTCTTACATATGGTGATATAAATGTTTCATAAAGAAACAAAACAACCTATAATGGGCAAGTCCTGAATGTCTTTCGTTACACTTTGTGATCCACCATATCTCAAGTACTTGTGGTTGTAAACTATTTCTAAAGGAAATGATCCTGACGATCATGGATGAAGAAAATCTAACGATCAAGCATAAGATTGACAATCTAGAAGATTGTTCACTAACTAACTCCCGACAACAATCTTTCTAAAAGTTGTTCGTGAAATTTGAGTTCAACGACTCAAAATTTAAAGTGATGTGGTCAAGAGGGGGAGCATATACGCACTGCACTCTTTTTCCCTTAACCATGGTTTTTTCCCACTGGGTTTTCCTGATAAGGTTTTTAACGAGGCAGTATGAGATAGCGTAATGCAATCTAGTGGTCATCCAAGGGGGAGTATTATGTAAATATTTATATTTGGATGACCAATGGCCTACCACATTAGATGCTTACTTGGGAGTTACATGTAACTCCCATTCCTATATTATTATCTCTAATTCATATGCATTGAAGTAATGGTTACCAAAGGGTGCCTATAAATAGAGCACATTATTGTATCACAAATGGAGGATGAATGAGAAGAACTATTCCCCTCACTTCTTTTGTGTCTTTCCCTCTCTAATTTCTCTTGTAGTTGTTTACATTTCCATTAGTTTCATAACAAATTCAATGAATTTATAGTGCAAATTATTTTCTCCAAACGGGCTCTTTTATGTGTCATTCCACCTCTACACAAGCTACGCTGAATCTTTTTCACTATAAGAAAGATGTTACATTTCAAATAATAATGATATAATCATTTTCATTTTATTATAATTAAAAATAAAAATCAATTTGAACCATATCTTTGAAATAAACAAGTGTCTCCACCATCTATTGGACAACCCTATCTACAAGGTTCATCTTTCATAATTTACACATATTGACCGGACCAGGGGGGAAAATACAAACGAGAAAGAGAAGGAAAATACACAAAAAAAGAAAATGGGATAAAGAAGGAAAATGAAAGGACATTGAAGAAGACTTCGATCGAGAATCTCAGTAATGGAAGACGTAGACGTTGTACTCCACCACCGCATCACCGGTATTCACATCCCTCTCCTGAGTCCTCGCCTGAGCGTATCCGCGGGCGAACCGGAGCAGCCCGCTGCCGCCGACGACCGGCATCTCCCTGACCTCGGACAAGACGCCGTTCCGCCCCAATACGCTGAGATTGCTGCCGTTGTACTTCCCTTCCGTAAATGCGAAGTTGAACAGCATAAGGAAACTGAGCTCTGTCTGGGACGCCGAGGCGTACATCCCCTGGGCCCTACCAATAAGCTTGGAGCTCAATTGGGGGCCCACGGTGAGAGGGTTGTCCATCACCGCCACCAGCCCGAACCCCGTGGTGGAGGCGTTGGTGGCGGCGGCCTCGGCGACGCGGACGGCGCTGGGGTTGCTCCCGCTGACGGTGTCGTGGAAGTAGAACCTAAAGTGGCTCAATTTCTCCTTCCCCAGTTTCTGCGGGCGCAGAGTTCGGGAGAATGGTTGGCCATCGGGTTTGGCGGCGTGGGCGAGCGAAATGGCGAGGGAGAAGGAGAGGAATAGAAAGAGAAGGAATGTTTTGGCAGCCATATATGATTCGGATTCTGATGCAGGGAGGGTGTGATTTGAAGAAGAGAATGATGGTGGCTTGATATTTATGGTTAGGGAAGGGCCAATGCATGTGCGGCCATATTGACTTTTTTTTTTCTCGAACGGCGGCGTTGACTTTACCGTAATATTGGACATGGAGCATAAAACGTTTTGGTCTAACAGCATTCAAATAATACAATTACGAAATTAATTGTACATCCAAATTTTTATGCAATTTAAATTAATTTTATTTTATGGTATCTATATTAATGGAATTCATTTGTAATTATATGTAATTTCAAATTACAAGTAATACTCAAAAGTATGGTGCTGAGAATTAAGGAGAATCGAAGATGATGTGTACGAGCATTTTTTTCTCAAAATGCTTTAGGGTTCGTTTGGATTAGGAAATTTAGGATTAGAGATTTGACAGGAATTTTTGCCCAAATTCCTGAATTAAAAACCTAGATATTTTATATGAAGAATTCAGCCAAAATTATGTGTTTGTTTATAGATCAAGATATTGGGTTCAAAGTGAGAAAAGCCGATTTAGCCCCTACCCTTCACTTTCCCCTTCCTCTTCTTCTTTCTGCCTTTCTTTAGCTTCATCGTCGATCGCCTCGACATCAGGTACCTTTTCCGCTCCCCTCCCGGCGTCGATGAAACCGAGGTGAAAGACACAAAGGTCGCCGTCTACCCTTCCCCTCCCATATTCGTGGTCGCCCTGCTCCAGATCTGCTTGGATTCGATGATGACGGTTGCGGTGTTGTGAAGGCGAAGAGGAAGAAGTAGTAGAAACGTAGATCTGCTTGGATCATCTCGCAAGGATCTTAGGCATTGACACGCTAAAACACAACACCAAACTATGGCCAAGTGTAACCAATGAAAGGGACTGCAGTATAGTGGCACAAGTAATAAATATCGAATCCACGGGTCTCTAGAGTTACTATTACTCAGCTTCAGTTCATTATCTAGCAAACTAGATTAAGGATTGATTAACTAAACTACTCTACTAACTAAACTAAATAAACTACTAATTACAGTTTGGGAACTCACTTAGGTATGATTCCCCTAGCTCCTCAATTAGGTCCAAGTTGCAATTACCTTTGGTTGATCTACTGTTGATTAAACTGCGGAAGATCCTAAATTAGCTTGGAATCTCTTAAGCTGACCAAGCCCTCTCAGTCCAACTACCCGGCAGATGACTAGTCTTCACCAGGATAGAAAGCTGAGGCTATGAACACAGAACTCCACTACTGGAATGAATTCCAGTACAAAGCAGTGCATTGATGGACTCTCGTACAACCAATTCACCACTATCAATCAAGGAAGCTCTCTTAACCTAATCAGATTCTATCTATCATAGGTTAAAGCAGAAATCAAGAGAATTTGATCAAGATTCAATTGACTCAATAAATCATGCCTCAATCGATTATAATCAAACAATATAGCATCCAAAACTTCATACAAGAAAGATCCTAACACATGGAACTAGGGTTCCTCAAAACCTAAGTGAAGGGAAGTTACTCCATAGAGAAGAGAGAGACTGCAGAAATCTGATCTAGATCTTCAATCTCCATCTCCAAGCTTGATTCCCGAGCTCCAATGGCGAAGAAATCCTCCAAAATAGCTCCAAGAATGTTCCCAAGTCGCTCTCTCTCTCTAGGGTTCGTCCCTTGGGTGTTTGGGAACCAAAAACCCCGCTCTCCCCTTTCCTTTCGCTGAAAATCGGGTTTTAAACAGAAATTCCCGATCACGCGGCCAGGCCACACGGCCGTGTGGCTTTCCTAGCTGCCCGTGTGAAGGCTCGGTGATTTCCACACGTCCACGACCCACACGGCTGTGTGGAGTTCCAGGATGCCCGTGTGGCTTGCTCAGCCTCTGTTTAATGCTTCGTTTCTCCCTCGTCCGGACTCCGAATCAGTCGCCGTTTGATCCCAGACGCTCGTAGTCTCGTCCTCTTTCTTTTCATGACAAGCTTGCATGATTATTTGTCCATAAAGTGAGGTATAAATCCATTCTTCTTCAGGTCATGCCCGAGTTTCTTCTCCCGAATCGTCAATTGATCTCTGATTGACTTGAAACTTGCGCCTATGCTTCACTTTATGTGCTAGGACCTGAAATATGACAAAGGAACACAACCTAGCGTAAAATAGGCCAAAGAAACGATAATTAAAGCTCAAACAATCAAGAAACAAAGGGGAAAACATGTGCAAATACCGAGTCATCAGGCATCCTAGATCTCCTCGCGCCGCCGATCGTCTTCTCCCCAAATCATCGCCATCACCGGAACAAAGAAACGGAAGTCGGAGCAAGATGATTTGGTGAGGCTCTGGCGAGGCCGAGGATAGCAGGGAGGGAGAAGAGGAGGAGGCACGACATTGGTTGTTATGAAGTCGATGAGAGAAGAGGGCAAGGGTTGGAAAAAAAAATAAAGAACCAGAGATTTTGAAATAGCTAGGGTACATCAGCTATTTTGAAATTCTTAAATGGAATAATTTTGAAATTCCTAATAGTCAAAATCCCTGAACAAATGAAAACTTACCAAACGCAACAATTTGGTGAAATTCTGGAAGGACAGGAATTGGAACAAAATCCCATTCCCAATTTCCTAATCCAAACGACCCCTTAATATATTTTAAGATTTGTGGGGGAATTGTTTGGTGTCGGCAAGAAGCCAAGAACCCATACTACACCCCCACTCATCGATTATTAATTGTGGGGTTGTTTCCAAAAAAAAAACGGAGAACCGATTATTGTTGATAGTTTTTTTTCTTTGTTTTATTGGAAAATAGAGTTTGCTTTATTTTGGTTTCATTGCTTTCTTACTAAAAAATGAACATAGAATTTGATAGGAACAACAAAATATGAGTTATTAATTATAGTAGGGGCTTCTATAGTGTATTCTCACAAATTAGTGTATATGCGGTATCCTAGTGTAAAGGTAAAAAAATTAATCATCTTTAAATTAAAATTCTAATCATTGTTATTTTTCTTATCAATATTATAAGTTTATAACCAATAATCGTAACTTAAGTTATGCATTTATAAGTATAAGTTTATACGCATGTGATTATTAGAAATATGTTTACTCATAAGTTCATTGTTGGATGCTTCTAAACTTGCAAAAACAAGCAAGATTCTAGGGTTGAAGCTTGGTTTGTCCTCCCACATTCATGTTTGACCATGAAAATTTTAGAAAGTAAACTACCTATGACTAAGTTAACCATAAGGATAATTATTAAAAAAATGTTGACTATTCATATTTGACGACCATGATATTCCACCAACTACTATTTATTATTTCAAAACAATCATCACGGCTAGCTACAAAAGCTTCAACCTATTCTCTAGTTTATTGAGAGTTTCGGAACTAGGGTTCCGACGATCACTTTAGGTTTTTTTTCCAGTCCTTAGGGATTGACAGTTGTCTTGATTCATAGAGTTTCTATAGAACGTCTCCTACCTGCTTAGCTCCCTTTCTATCCTCTTGCGATAAAGGATCTTGAGTGAGAGTTTCCTAGGGGTTTGCAAATGTTCTGGGGTCTCGTCTTTCGTATGAAACCTAACCTGCCTCAAGCGGCTTTGGGTAAGGGAGTGATCTGTTTGCTCTATCAAAACTTCTATGGAAAGCCCGAGTCTAGCAATGGACAACGAAAACTCTATCAATGATAATCCCACCAACGTTTCTTAGGTGGGGTGGATTGGCTACAAAAGAGACAACAGACACAGATGACCAAGAAAGCATGTCGAGGTTTCTTCAGGACCAGATTCAGCAGATTAAACTGGCGGATGATGATGCGCTGGTAGTGGAGGATGATGATATTGATTCAGCTCTTGTTCATACAACCAGTCTGTTAGGGCTGACCGGCAGAATCGTGACCTCTAAGAAACCGAACCTGATATCGATGAAAATAGCTTTGTCAACAGGCTTGGAACTTGCAACAAAATTTCCAAATATCAGAGACGGGGGATCAGCTATATGGTTTCTAGTTTATGAACAGAAGCGATCGTGATAAAGTACTTTTTGGAGGACCTGGTATTTCGAAAACAGTTTGCTCATCTTTAAGCAAGCTGAGGCCTTCCAACAACCAAAAGTAGAGGATTTTCATATGTTGGAAATATGGATGCAAATCTATTATCTCCCATCAGCTCTACAGACAAATGAGATGATTCACAAGATTGTAGCAAAATTTGGCATTCCTATTTGGGTGGATAGTCGAAAGGAATGTGCCTGGAATGCTGTACTAAGGATAAGGGTGGGTAAGGATATTCGAACCCCACTAAAAAAGCAGCTAAAACTTTACCTCAAAGGAATGGTACATGCCTATGACGCGAAGTATGAAAAGCTTCTCATGTACTGTTTCTCTTGCGGCTTGGTGTGACACTGTAAGATCTACTGTCCCAACCCCTCTCCAACAGGGCAGGATATGGTTGGACCTGAACTAAGAGTGGACTCATCAAAACCCAAAACTTGGCAGAGCATACTAGAAAGGAAGGAATCAGGGGACCTATGACAGGCTTTAAGGGCCAAGTTTGATAGGGAGTAGTGACAGAAAGAATGGACATAGCGGAGGCTGAATACAAAAAGAAAAGAAATGATGATATTATTAACGAGATCCAATGAAGAATATTGGTGGAAAAGGTGATGATTGAGTTGGATAAAGAAAAACCGATGAGGAAAAATAGAGTAGGTTTTGAACAAGAGCAATGGAAGGGACCAGCGGAAGAAGTGTGGCTCTCCAGACAAGCAAAAAAGGGAAAGGGGGTTACCTCTGCAGGCTCGAAGGTGGTGGAGTTAAGGGTAGTCCAAAAATGCAAGTGAACCCACAGGAACAACAGTTGAAAGGAATCTCCAATCTTTTTTTCGATCCAGGATGCCTGCCACAACAGGTTTTGTCAGAGAAGAAGCAGAAAAAAAGCTGGAAAAGACAAACCAGAGAATCCCCAAAGCAAGGGCAGCCAACACAGATTCTGTTAACAACCCAAAAGAGAGGTCT